TTGTCATCGACAATAGGGACGCACCACTCATACAGGCCGAGGGTCTCGAGTTGGAGAACCTGGTGAAGGGCCGACAGTTTTTGGACAACCATTTCCAGGCCTACGTCAACAGTGTTGAGCATCTGGTGAATGGGGATGTCGTGAACACCCGCTCCGACCTCAACAACAGAGAGTGTTATCACAAGTTTGTCGACACTTTCAACGATAAGTGTATGAATATTGCTGAGGTATGTGTGGGAACACCTATTTTTGTATATTATACAAAAATATATTTATTTTTAATAGTAATTATGTTAGGTAATAATACAAATATATTTATAAAATTAGTAAGTTTGCTAGATAATGCGATGCACAATAATATTCATAATTAAGTTGGTGAAAGCACATTTTATATTTATAGGATTTGTATACAGTTTACATATTTTAATTTATTAAGTTATTTTGTTGCTTAACTATTTGAATAGATATTTATTATTTAAAACACTTAAAAAATTATTTTATTTTATATAATTTTACACAAATAGTAACAACACTTCTAAACAAATAGAAATATTTTGGTATATTTAGAAAACCACAAAAATATTTTAATATTTAAATGTTAGAACTATTTTAAGTATTTTATCTAAATGTTTTAATTTTAAAAATCTTTAAATATAGTTAAGGATTTTTTAAACAATATAAAATAATTACTAAATTTATTACAATTTTTAATTAACATAATTTTAATTCAATTCCTATAGAATTCATATGTTTTGGGCAAACTCTACCAGTTTGTGAACATTTGTGAACAAAGCTCGGCTACCGGTGCTGAGGCCGCCCTCACCCAACTGGTCTCATACTGCCAACAAGAGATGCAGTACCCTGCTTATATTCTTTAAGAATATTACGTATTGTACATTATGTAAAAATCAATGCATAATAAAATAAAAAAATAAAATAATAATTATATAAAAAAAATAACTTGTTAAATTAATATATACCATATTAAAACACCAATGTAAATCCAATTAATTTGTTGGATTAATTTGTTGGATAATCCAATTAATTGGTTTTTAATTTGTTGGTTTTATTTCTGTTGGTTTTTTAGTCACACCCAATCACAGATAAGACAATTAATTAAGTAACAGTTGATTTATCAAAATAACTAGTTTAATAAATAGCTGTAATTATTAAACTATTTATTCATGAGGTAATATTACCTATTCAAAATTTATGTTTAATTGAACATTTGATTTAAATTTGAACGTAATTTATAAATGTGTAAAAATTATTATAAAAATTTTTATTAAGAAATATTTCTTAAAACACATTTGATATAAAAAAATTACTTTAATTCATTTACAAAACATTGAGTTCAAAGTTAAAATCATGAAAACAAAAGCGAATATAATATTGTTCATCATAGTGGTAACCAAGGTGGTCATCATATCAGCATTGCTAAGTAATATATCAAGCTACAATTTATAAGGCGATTCATATAAAACAAATCGGAGTGAAAGGAGTGATACAATTAGGAGCCACATATTTTCATTGGCTATCAGCCCCTTATATGCGAGTCTGCAAAAGTAAAGGTATAATTATTTTTATTTTAGATTATGTAATATTATAAGATTTATTTCTATAGGTTTTGGTATCGGTTTTACAGATTGTTACTCAAAATGTATTGAAACACTTTACTACAAACAATACAAATGTTTACCCAATCCTTACATCAATGAAAAGTTTATTCTTATGAATGCGAGTCAAACACAGTATAGAATATGTAGTAATAATAGTCAAGAATATTCTGTTAATGAAATGTATTGTAAACACAAATGTGTTATAAATTGTGATGAAATACAATATGCCTTAGACTATGAGAGCAACACATATTCGGCACAAAATAACACGAAAATTGGAATTAAATACAAATTATATCAAGAATTTCATTACACAGCGGAACCCAAGTATTCATTTGTCGACTGCCTGTCCACCATTGGGGGACTCATTGGCCTGTGGTTTGGTATGTCATTCATAGGTACCAGTGCTCTCACTAGACTCATGTTAACCAATATTAAAGAATTAATTGGACACTATTTACAGACCATATTAATTGAACAATTACTCGCAATAACCTTGATACAATATATTTATTTGTTAGTCAAGATATTACTACGGTTTCGGTGGAAACTAATTATAACAGTCATAACATTGCCCTTAATTTGCGTACAATTATATCAATTAATTGATGAATACTTACAATTCCCGATACAAACATCGATTGAAATTATAAAATATAAAAACTTTAAAAATAAATATAGGATTTGCCGGCAATATATTCCCGCTATAAGTGTATGTTGTAAACAAGATTTCGTTAATATTTTATTTGATCAGGATATTAAGAGATATTTGACTGAATTTATTTCTTCTTATAAAAGAGGTCGTGATCTTGAAACAGAAACAGAAAACCCTGAGCCTTTTATGAGTAATATAACTGACATTGGTATTAGAGATATATCACATATATAAATATCACATTAGTATTTTTATATAAACGTCATAAAACAAATGGAATACACAATAAAAATGTACCCAGAGTTTAAATATAAAACACATATTAATAGTAAACGCTACACTGAATTATCAACAAACTATTTAGACATTAACCACCTCGATGAATTTGAAAATAATTTGTTAAGAAATAATGATTACTTTGTAAATATTACCAGGGACGAGTTCAATTTTTTCACCAGTATAATTATTTGCAAATTAGATTCAATAAATTGTGATGAGCTACAAAGTAAAATTAATATACTATCACAATTTGGCAAATGTACCACATATTTATCAGAATTGTTGGAATATAACAAAAATTTTACCATGGATAAATTTATTACATTCAAGCAAGTTCGAGGTAGAGGTTATTCCCACAATAAAGCGAATTTTTTGAAAAAGACATTTATCGTGCATTCACCTAGCTCACTACCAATATATAGTGATAATTGGATTGAATTCAAAGACAATACGGATTACGATTTAAAAGATATAAAAATAACAAAATATTTGTTCAAACGTTTGCCGAAACCATACGACACTCAATGTCACGACTATCGAGAAAATGAGACACAATTTCATTGTCTCAACAAATGCTATCAAAAGCAATACGAAAGTCAATACCAATGTATTCCCAAATATAGTTTACTAACCATTCAGTTATACGACAATTATATGGATCCAAATGTTACACTTTGTTCACAATTACTTACACCTGATGTCAACGATGTTAACGACAAAATTAACAAATATTGCATTTCTAAATGTCCTGTTTCATGTTTAAATGAATTATTTTTTTTATCGACAATACAGTCACCTTGATAAATTTGGATTTGATTTGGATTGGTTCATGAGTTTGGAATATAATTTTAATTTTAATTCAAATTTTTACATTTATATAAAGTATTTGCCAAAAACATTGTTTATTGACCTCATCATAAGTATGGCCAATATATTGAGTCTATGGCACGGAATAACTTTCATTGCTTTATTGCACATCATTAGTAGATTATTAAACATAAATTATTTTAATAATCCTATAATTATTTATATATATAATTTATATAATAATTTAGTGTATATCCAAAAATTAATCACATTTTATAACCGATACATCAATTTAAAGGTCAGTATTTAAATTAATTTATTTTAAAATCCAGGCAGATAAAATGTTACACGCATACAATTACATTTTAATTCACTCGCAACCTTATCCAAATATTTATAACCTCGATCCATCACATTATATAGAAATAGAAAGTTGGGGACAAACTCGTACAGTTATTATAACCAAAACATTGACAACACATTTAGGTCACCCGCACGGGAACTGTCGCTATTATGACGGATCGGGTGCCGGCGATCGACCGTTTAATACAGACTCTCAAACACATTGTATGAGACGCTGTATCGGATATTACGCGCAAAAGAACCTCAAATATGACCCGTTATTTATTGATAAATATGTCCATGAATTAGATTTTGACGACAATGATCAGGTTGCATTTAGATTCAATACAACTGCATCAAGCTTTCAATCACACGTCCCACTTGTGGTCAATGATAAAACTTATAATATAAGGGAAATGTGTCTAAAAGATTGTCCCAAAGATTGTGTGAGCGTTGAGTATAGCGCACGAGTCGTGTCGAGTGATACACCAATTGATGAACAAATGAGTCTTAGAAACGAGTTTATAAAGACACCATTTGTTTGGGACTCAAGTCAACCCATGTTTAACTATAGGGAACAACCGGTGCAGACATTTATCGACTGTATGTCATGTATTGGAGGACTGCTTGGGGTGTGGTTTGGCACTAATGGCAAGGATTTGCTTATTTGGATAATTAACAGTCGATTCTGGGGTTGGATTCAACGAAAATATAATCACTATTTTCCAGATAATACGGTTCACCCAATTAACCCAATTATTTAACTTTTCTGTATTTTAAAAATATTAAACTTTCAAAATAAATATTTTAAACACTATAATAATTATAATATGTTAATTTGTAACTTTATTACATAAAAACCTCGATATCATAAATAAAATATTTAACTCAAACATATTTTTAGCTTAATAAATTTCATAACCTATTTACTATGTTGACAACATTATGTCAATTTAAATTATAGAAATATTATTCAACGGTAACCAAGTTTTTTCATATGAGGTGGGTCGTTAAGATTTCTGATTAAATCTTCAAACGGATTAAATTTTTATATTATATCTCTAAGATTTATCACAAGTTTGTCGACACTGTCCACGACCAGTGCATGAATATCGCTCATGTATGTATGGGTTGTGTGGGGGAGACCTACATTTAGTAAAATTTATTTACAGATAGTATTTAAGCCAAAATTATTATATTTATTATTTATTATACTAATAATTGTTTTGAGTTTTATTATTAAATAATTTTAGTTTATCATAAAAATTCTTTTATAAAAATACCTAAAATTGTTGTTTATCTAATAAAATTTATAATTAATTTGATGTATGCCTGTTCAGTGATTGTAAGATTTAGATTTAGTTTTCAAAACTATTTTCTGATTTATTTTGCAGCTAGTTATGTAATTACAATATTCAAATGTTTAAGTATAAAAAATATCTGCAATTACTGGAGTATTTGACTAATCAATAATTAGACAAAGCTAAATAGCTTAAAACTTAGGGTTATAAAACATTATTTATATTAGTTATAAAGTATACATTGATATACAGTAATTATTTATTTCTACAATTGAACTGCCATTTGTTAAAAAAAACCTTATGATTATGTAAAGCAAGCTGTAAACATATCGATATATTAGTAACCCCCCCCCTACCAGATGCTCAACACTGTTGACGTAGGCCTGGAAATGGTTGTCCAAAAACTGTCGGCCCTTCACCAGGTTCTCCAACTCGAGACCCTCGGCCTGTATGAGTGGTGCGTCCCTATTGTCGATGACAAAGGCGGTGTTGACGGCTACCCTGGAGCTGACCTCCGAGGCCTTGCCGCCCAAGAACTGAGAGACGGGTAGTTTAGCGATGGATAGGTCTCCGTATTGCATGACGTGAGACATTTTGGTCTGAGCTTTGGTGTACTCGTACTGCTCCTGAAGGGTAGTCGTGTCGGAGGCTGTCTCCGCGTTTTCCATCCAATGGATACTGTA